CAGACCCCCGAAACGCCGGCTTCGTGTGGATGAGAGGCTGGTTTGGTGAAAAATTTGTGCGTTTAGGCCAGGGTTCGGCTTTGTGTGGATGGGGCCTTATTCTAAACTGTTGGAAGGCAACATTTTTGCTGTTAGCCATTCTGTGGGGGTCTTAGCACCGTCGTTGATGTGCCAAACTCAAATGTAAGCCATGCTTTAAAGATTTTCATCTGCAGGAAATAAAAAGTGGGAAACTAAATGTAAGACAATAATACACTAAAGCTTTTTTAATTGCTGTGTTATGGTAAAATGGTAGGGATGTTCTGATCTGATGTTGGAATACATATCAGCCTGCCTCTAAAATCCCATAGAAACACTTTGCTTCTCTTCGCTTTTCTATAAAGCTTCTCTAACTGATGAATAAGAAATGGGTCAGCTGGTCTAATACCTGATAATGTTAAATATTGTTCTGTTTGAGAAACTTTTTTTTTATAATTCCATGCAATAAAAGTGTTCACGATTGATGCTGATATCGTAATGCTCAAAGCTGCATTATCGGCACTGTATCGGAGAGGAAAAAGTTGTATCCGGACGCAACTATAAAATCGTTTAAGGGATTCTGGAAGTTTTGTTTTTATTAGAAACGATGCGTTCAGAAAGTAGTTACATCTAGAACACATGCAGAAATACGTGTAGAGATTACCAGATTGTTTGATAGCGATGTTAATATAAGCAATATAAAACGCTGACCCTCTAAGGATTTAGAAAGTACATGTTTAGTTTTAAGTTTAACTATGTTTTTCCTGGGAAGACAAGTGTTTAAAACTATATAAGCTAGGAGTTTTCTGTTTTGTTTTTTTAAAATGGGTCTTATTCCTAATAAAAAGGCCCCCAGCGTCTCTTTTTGGAGGAAAAACAAGAGGAGGAGGAGTCGGTGTACCTGGCAACGTTAGCATGTTCAGCCACAGGTTTAGCTGGGCACCCAGTTGTGAGCTGAGCCTTGCGTAGTGGTCGGCCCCGTGTAGCCTTGGCCCCCAGGCAGGATGGGGTCAAAGTTGAAGTCAATGGCGTCTCCATCCATCAGGTCACTGTTAATAATGTAGTCCACATCACAGTCCAGGTTCTCTGTGAACATGTCTATGTCCAAGTCTGTGGGTAGCCTATCCTGAGCAGCTGGGAAGCCGGTTGGAGCCCCAAAGTGACTCATCCCTGGAAGGCTCATGCTCTGATTGGCTGAGGGGACTGGCCCAGCGTGATGAGAGCTCATGACCTGAACTGCGGCCTGGTGGGATTTTAGAGCAGAGAGTGAGTTTGGATCCTGGGACATTCCAGAGAGGATCATCCCAAGGCCAATCTGAGAGTGATGCTGGTGTTGCTGCTGCTGCTGCTGGTGGTGGAGATGATGCTGCTGAGGCTGCATCTGGCTCTGCATCGCCATTGGTGCCACAGTGTTGGGCTCCAGCCCTTTGCTCAGCTGTAGCTGGTTGGGTTTGGGTCTCACACCCAAACCCATCTGGCTCAAACTTCCAGAGTTAGTCAGAAGTGGGCTGACCTGGGTCATCAAAACGTCATTGGGAGGAGGAGAGTCAGAGGTGAGCAGCGCCTCCAGGCTGGAGGGAACATGGCTGCTGTAATGGCTGCTTCCATGGGAGCTGGAGCTGGACATGGGGTTGAAGAGGGAGTTGCTGAAGGTGGTTGGCTCTTTGCTGGTTGGGCCACACAGAGAAACAGAGGCCTGGGCCCCGGTGTGAGCGGGGGCCTGCGCCATGCTGGTAGCCTGCAGCTGATGGAAGGAAGGGAAGCTGGATCCCCGTGGCAGCAGGGTGGAGGCAGAAGGCAGCGGAGTGGGAGGCGCCGGTGGCGCTGTGCTTGGACTGGCGGCGCCCTGCTGCCCCGTCATTAAGGTGAGGTTGTCGATCAGATCCAGCTCCTCCATGACTGTCTCAGTGAGTGTGGGGGTCAAGCTACTGGAGGTGTATCTCCCCAGCAGGCTGTCGTCGGGCAGGGTGTCATCATCTTCTTGGCCGGGTGCGATGGGGGACAAACGTCCGCTCAGGGTGCTGGCGTTGGAACTTGTGCGAGGGCGAAAAGTGGTCCACATGTCGGCATCATCCAGGCTGCCACGAGAAGAAGGGCTGCTGTTGTTCACACCCCATTTGGGAAACTGCTGTGATGAATTTGGGCTGTCTGCACCTGCCGAACCGGCGCCAGCATCCCCCCCTGCGCCGGCGGCCCCGGCCTGCTTCTTGGTCTGTTTGGCTCTCATGCGACTCTTCAGCAGTTTGCTGCTGTTATCCATGGAAACGGCTCGGCGACGAGGCGCCTTTCCCGTCTTTCCTCCTTCCGGGTTGAGCATCCACCAGGAGCTCTTTCCAGTAGATTCATTGTGCACCCTCAGAAACTTGTTGTGGAGTGATAGGTTGTGGCGGATTGAATTCTGAGGCGGAAGAAACGAGTCAAATCAGATACAGACTGAAGTAAAGGCAAACAGATAAAAAATAAAAAATCTGGATCAATATCAGAAAAAGCTATATCTGTGGAAATTATGAGCTAACTAAAAAACAACTAAATGCTAAAGCAACATTGCAATTATTAGTTTTTGTTCCATATACACCTTTGTAGAACTTTGTAGGAAGACGGGAAGCATGATATTAAAAACAAAAACCTAAAAAAAAATCATGTTGAAAACTTTGGAGCATATTAAAAACTCAGCAGCATGAACAACAGCGTGAAGCTCATGCAGATGTTTGACTACAGCTATTTCATTTAAACCAGTTAGAAACGGGAAAAAAAGTTACGATTTCAAAGCCCATTTCTCTTCCTACAATTTTCAAAGTCTTTTTAATGGCATGCAAGTAAAACACTGATGGCCAGTTGATGTCTCCAAAAGGTTCCCATGGCAATCAGGGAAAACAAATCCTGGCGTTTAGATCCAGCAGAGACTGAACGAGCGTTACTCCATAAAGAGCTGAATCTGTAGTATTACAATAGTATTATGAATTAATACAAAACATAATAAAGCAATAAGATCAAATTAAATACTGTTTTTGCTCAACTACTTTGACTTCTGTAGTTTTTAATTTGGGCTCTGTGGCTTGCCATACAGAGCGGCACTAGGTTAGCAGCCAGAGTGACTTAGAATAAGCATAAGTGTGACTGGAGGCCAGCCCATTATGCTACAGAGCTTTCTGTAACCATAACAGTCAAGATTTCAGCTGCAATGGAGTTATGTTGTTATTGATGCCATTGAATGTCCTGAAAAACCTGTTTATATCCTTAAAATTTCTGGCTGCTGTAAGATTTCTCTTTTTTTTTTAAAGCAATTTGAATGTCAGATCCATAGTTATCCAAAAAGGTTCTAAGCCGTTTCTGTTGATTCTGTTAGCCCAGACTCTGAAATTAGGCTCTACCTGCTTCTTCACAGACTAACTTACCATGTAGACGGCATAAACTAGTCTGGTTTCTCACCCTCTGAGTGAAGTAGCATCAGACCCATCTACATGTTACAGCGCCGCTTTGGCTTTTGATGTGTGCTTTGAAACCATTCAAAACTTCCACTCTTTTTAAAAAAATAAAAATCTTCAATGTATGCTTCATTTTCAAGTTAGCCCAACTTCATTGTGCTGCTCTTTACCTTTGCTGTTAAATCCAGGCTTATATAAAATCTTTAAGAAAATGTTTGCTATCCGATTAGAACGAAATATAACTTTAAAAAAAGATCAAAATAGAACTTTATTGATCCCACAACTGAGAAATTCATCCCTGAATTTAACCAGTCGCCTTCGGGGAGCAGTGGACTGCCACTGTGCGGCGCCCGGGGAGCAATGTGAGGTTAAGGGGCTTGTTCAGAGACCCGGATTGCAGGCTGGGGGGATCGAACCGGGTACTTGCAACCTTCTCAGAGCACAAGAGCACTGCTCTAACCACTAGGGCAGGGGTCTTTAATGTTTTCCAAGCCAAGGACCCCTAAACTGACGGTAAGATGGAGCGGGGACCCCCTAATTATATATATTGTATGAAATTGTGTTATATCAGACTGGTCCTATAGTCACTCTATTAGAAATGGAGTAATGTAATGAAAGTAATTTTGTCCTGGGATTATTAAAGCATTTCTGATTCTGATTCCTGGTTGATGGAACAGGTGTTGTGAATGAAACGGTGCCCAGCTTGAAACAGCTCCTGTGTGTCGCTGAATGTGTGCATTGATGACTGAAAGACAACTTCTGCCTCCATTTATCTGTTTACTTCAGTGTGTTGAATTCATGTTAATGTGAATTTAAAAACATTTTAATTAGTGGAAAAAATTGCAGGGGGGAATATAAAAAAAAAAAAAAGTCTAATGAACCAAAACTTTTGCGACCCCATGCAGTACCTCCGTGGACTCCCTGGAGGTTGCAGACCCCCTGTTGAAGACCTCCACACTAGGCCACCACTTCCAAATTAGAAAAAAATTCAAAAAAATAAATGAATCTATTTGCAAAAAAAATCATTAGTTGCAGCCCTCCTTTAAATGAAGAGGCTGCAAGATGGATGGAAAAATACTTTCCAAGATTGCATAGGGACCATGTAATTCATTTTGACATATGGGCCCCTCTTAGATGCTTGGGTAACTATAAAAAGCATACAATCTATGATCTTTCCAAGATTTAAGATAAGATAGATTTTTTTTTTTACTTTTAATGTAATGCTGATTCTGTTTTGACTTGTTTAACAGATACAAAAAAAAAGGTGAAACAGATTTACTGTTGTGAACATCAGGGCTCACCTTCCATCCAGCAGAGCTGTTGCTGTCTCCCTTGTCTCTGAAGTAAGGCACAGTTTTCACCATCCAGTCATAGATCTGAGCCAGGGTCAGCCTCTTTTCCGGCGAGTTCTCTATGGCCTGGCTTATCAGATCAGCGTAGCTCTGGTTCCCCCACGCGTTGCGCCGGGAGGATCCTTTGCGGGGCGTCGCTCCGGCTCCACCCACACCCACCACGGCGCCGCCCTCCTCCGCTGCAGCCGCCGCGGCAGCTTTCTCTGGCTCGGAGGTGATTTGCTGCGGTTCGGGCTTGTCCTCGTCGGCTGCGGGCGGGGTCCCAGCGGCGGACTCGGCCCCGTCCGCCCCCTCCGCTTTGACAGCAGAGATGTCAGGTCTCGGGAGCGGCCACGTGCAGGAGCGGGGTCTACTCTGGGGCTCAAAATCAGGGTCGATGGGTGGCATGGAAGAGTCCTCCATGTTGGTTCTCGGAACTTCCACTGAAAAAGTTCCCTTATGGTTAAAACTTTTTAAATATCAGAACAACAAAAAAAGTTTGTGAAAAGCCACAAAATAAATATATTACAAGTACCTCAGTCAAGGGGCTTCAGTAGAGGGGCCTGGAAAGGAGACACGGTAATCTGGACACACCAATGGCCTCAGTTAATCCTCAGATTGGAGATTAGGGAACACAAATAATCTCCTTAATAGTAACTATCATAAACCTTCCGATTTATAAACAGAGAAGAAGGCTGCCTGAGTCTCTTTGTTTCAATGAAACAAAAACAGAGGAGTGTCATTGAGCAGCAAAACATCTGGATCTACAGCGGTTAGGGCTCATCTGAAATATGAATACAAATGCTTGAACTGTAAACGACTCAAATATATATATATGTATGGATATAAAATATTTTTTCTAATTAAAATATATATTTATAATTGATCGAGAAAATATTCTGTACCAAATTTCTGTTTTTTTCGTTAAAAATTAATTTAAAAAATTGTTTGTGGAGTCTGTTTACATATCAATAAAAATAGAACTGATTAAAAAGTAGACAAAGTGAATATTAAAGATAGCAGAAAATAATAGCAGTAAAAATGAAACAAATGTCTGAGGAGCGACAGAATGAACAAACAGTTCTGAGACTCTGTCCACTGTCTCTGTGTCCTTTCGGGGATTTAAACATCCAAACAGCTGTGAAAACAGCACAGGACAATGGGAATGTGCTTCAATATATCCTTTAAAAGAAGTTTATAACAGAAAATATGGATGAGTAGTCGGTCTGCGCCTTAGGTCCGCTCCATGCGCCACATCGCGGCCAGACGCATGTCACCAACTGCCATGTTTCTCCCGCAGTCCTGCCGCCTCACACGGCGCTCAAACACTTCACAAACACACCGCTCCCGATCATCCGCTGTAAGCTTCGTGAACTTTGTAAAGGAATCCCCCAGTTTGTTCCCGGGAACTCCGTGGAGCCCTCTCGTCAGCAGGTCTGTCGGCTCCCCGCTCGCCGCACTTTCCAACCAGCAGCGATAGCCGCCGTAACGCTAGCTGCTTAAGCTCCTGCTACTCCAGAGTTTACAATCCGTGAAAAAGTCCGCGAAAAAAACCCAAATAAGCTTCTCCAAGCAGCCGTTTTACTTCCGATAAGAGTTTCGAGGAACTTTCCACCGTCGTAGCGATCCAAATACTCGCTTCTCCGCTCTCTTTTTTACTTATTTTGCTTTGTTTTGTTTTGACTCGAGGCGAAGACTCCCTTCTGACGTCTGTTTACCACTGTTAGGCAACGCGCTCTGCGCATGCGCACAGCGGCATGCTGGGAAACCGAGTCCTCCCCATGTGTCAGACAGCGCTGGCTTAGCGGCTCCTAGTCAACATGAACCTGCGTTATGTAATAGTTTATGAAGGAGTACTGAGAACACTTTGTCCGTTTAAAGTGATTACTCGCAATTAAACTCTTAAGAACAACAACAGCTCACAAAGCCATAGACTATACTGTTTCATAGTTCCAAATTATTATTTATGTCATGTTCTCATCCAGAGGCGTAGCCAGACATTTTTTATAAGGGTGGCCAGGCAATAACTAATGTACACTGAGGGGTGGCTGAAATTAGATAGGCACACTGTTCCAACAGGAAAATTAACAAGCAAAACATTCATATATCTGCCCACAGCCTTTTCTAACAAATAGATGAATATATTCAAACATCTGTGCTGTCTAGATAAAAGGTATAGTGGATAAAATTCTTTTCGGTTTGAGTTTGGGTGAACATCTTTTCCATTGTCATTACTTACCTACTTTTATCAGTAATCATTCTGCAAAAACTTTATATTTACAAGTAATATTATATACATTAATTGATTATTTAATACGTTTTTATTTAAATAGTTGTTTATCTATAATTTCACTGAAGAGTCCTAGATGACTTGCAGAGGCAGATAATTTTCTCTTTACCCCATAAAACACAAAATCTATTTATGCTTGAATTCTGTACTTATCATTTTTAATGTTAGTATACTGATGTGCATAATTAACCACAGTGTTTTTGTTGTCAAGTACTTGTTAATATATGAAAAATTAAAATGTTTTGAATATTCCACTTGAGAGTATTACTGCTGCCACCATCTGTTTCAGAGGGAAATAAATGCTAGGGGTGGCCACAGGGGTGGCCAATGATTGGTTGAAGGGATAGTTCGGGATTTTTGACATGAATCTGTATGGCATCCCCATCACCAGTGTCATGCAATCACACTGACTTACCCCTGGCAGCATCCTGT